AGTTGTAGCGATTGAGGGAGAGAGAAGAAGCACAGGAAAATTGATAGGGAAAGAGACAGAGATGTGGCAGAGAGAGGAGAGCCATGCACGACACGTTGAATGTATCTTTCAGATTTATTCGGATTTTGGATAAAGATGAGAGCGTTTAAAAAAAAAATGTTTTAAATATAGTTTCAGTTACAAAAACAGTACTTTTTTTTTGTTTGACTTCCCGGGGATTTACAATGCAAAACTTAACGGGACTACATGGTTATATTGAGAAAAAAATATACGAAAGTTCTTCAATTAGTTTCTTATTTTTCAAACGATACAAAAACTTGTTTAAATGATTTATAGTGAATGTTTTGAGGACGTACCCCGTTGTCGACTTTTGTTAAACTGTTTGTGTGTTTATGTTCTTCATTTTTACAATACTACTATCCAAGTTTTTTTTTTGACCGTCTAAAATTTTATTAAAAATAGGAAAAAATTTCAAAACAGAGATGTGAAACAAACATACGAAACGTTAGTTTGAAAACAGAGCATCACACCCAATGACAAGGGAACTAATCATTACTACTATCCAAGTTTTGAAGTTAGAATGAATTATAGTTTATAATATATGTAATATGTTCCTTTAATAAGTATATTGGTTCATATTATGAGTAATATTGCATTTTTCAACCAGGATACATCAGAACCTAGTCAATCGCCAAAATGGTAGGGTTCACGGCTTCTCATGTGGTAGGGTCGTCCGCCAATCGGCATTCAAATATCCGTCCAGCTTACAACTCCGACTGGAAACTCTAGTCCTTGCAGTACTAACCCCACACGACACTTGAATATTATGCTGTGTTCGAGTGCACTGCCACAATCCACCTACTGCGCCACCAGATTGTCAAAAGATATCCTCCAAATGTTCATCTTCATAACAATGTGAAACTGGCTTGTAATCTTCAGCCTTTGATCAGCTCGGCCTCCGCCTCAATGGGTGCAAACTGCAAAGATATTCCGACTAAACCAAGCAAACGACTAACACATAATTTGAAAAAAAAAAAACAACAACACTCGAATAAAAACAAATAATGAGTCTTAACAGTTGTGACC